TGCGTGAGTACATCGAGTACATCAACTCACCTGACTCCCATCGTGGCCTTTTGGCTTGGGACGGCGTGCATCAGATGAGCCAATACTGCGCAATGGAGGAGCTTCGCCAGCTATGCCACGACAACCTCTCCGCTGCCAGGCGTGATGTGGTCAACAAGCAGACTCAAGAGCAGCGCCAGCAGCAGAGCAAGGGCAAGCGCAAGTCCTCTACCGGAGGTGATGGAACTCCAGCTTCAAAGGCAAAGGGAGGTCCGCCACCTTCACCGGTGAGCCCACGTGCATCCGGATCAGCATCATTCTCGTGGGGATGGAGCTCATGGAACTGGAGCGAGTGGGGCGAGCAGCGGCAGTGGGACCGCCGTTCGTGGGACTGGAGCTCGAGTCGGAGCCAGTGGCATTGGCGTTAGTTGAGCCAAGTCTCAACCTTTTGCCTGAGCGAGCCTAATTCAATGCATGACATCCATTGTCAATATGTATGCGGTTTTCCTCCCAAGTCCAAACTTTCAATTTCTTTTGGCGGCGGGGAGTGAATAATTAAAATGCACGTACAGGGCCACGTAGGCAGTGGATTGCTAGCATCCACAACTGCCATGCAGCTTTGAGCCGACATCACTGCCGTGCCCTGCACAAGCCCTCGTGCACTTTCCGCGTCCAGCTTCGGGAGCAAAGCTACCTTAGCTGAGGGGGGTGTATTTTCACTCCATGTAATATGTACACTTTGTACCATGCACATAGTAGGATGTCATGTAGACCTACCTTTCGCAGCTCGCGGCCCAAAACAGGAGTTGCAGCTTAACGGCTGTTTCTATACGGGTCCGATGCCCGAAATGCTCCTAGTAAGTAGCGTCCTTGTTCCTAGCATTTATTTTCTTGTTACTGGTACTAATGGCCTCCGCCTATACTAGCGTCCTAATACTATCAAATTAAGAATGCCAAGAATCAGAGGGCTCAGAGAATTGTTCAAAAGACTTTGTGGGCCATTTTGGGATCTTGGAGCACTTCACCTAGCGGCGTGTGAGGAGTAAGACTCTACGCAAATGCAGGGACAGGTCAGAACACTGAAGCATGATGACACTGGACGGTACAAAATGCCACATCTGACCCTTTAATGCTTCATGTTAAGATGCCACCACGATGTGTCAATCCAACGTTTCTGCCATCAAACTCTGCAAGTTGACTCCATCTCATTCTCAACTCGTCGTTTCAATGCTCAAGGCCTGGTGCGCAGACTACGAGGCTCGACCTGCCAGCGCCTGGGCAGCAAGAGGGCTCGCCCATCCGGAACAGGCGTTACATGCACGGTTGAACTCTCCTGTTTGGCTTCACGTCTCAATCTTCCCACTTTGCATTTGGATCCTCCCTGCGGCTTTACAGGTGCCGGCGGCATGCTGCCAGGTGTCGATGGCTGGAAGCTGAGTGAAGAACCTCGTCCTGAGAGATGCCCCAAAAATTTAAAATAGAAGACCAAAGTGGACATCGTCCTCGCTGCTCTCACGGTCCTCGTCCTCGTGGTGACCGATTGGACCTCCAGGTGGGCGTGCTTACCGGCGGCCCCGGTCCGGGCTGCGGATCGAAGTGGAGATGAGCCGCGTGGAGGCGAACGGGGCAAGGCTATGACAAGGCTCCTGGCATCGCTACTAGTAACAAAGGAGAGCAAGAAGCTACGTTCGCTTATTGTTTCTACGTTCGCTTCTTGTTACTATACTAGTAAGGCACTTGTTACTACTAGCGATGCACTTGTTACTAGGAGCAAGAAGCTATTCGGATTTAAAAAAAATGTGAGATGCTTGAATTGATGTGTCCCCGGATTGAGAGCGGATCAGAGCGGGGGGGCCGTCCCTGTGCTGCGCGGAGCACCGGAGCGGAGCGGAGCACCTCCGTGCGACCAGGTACAGCTGAATGATCTCCACAGTCGGCTCGCTGCCGCCAATCTGCAGGTCGACCCTGTACAAGTTGGTTCTTTGGAGAAGGAGAAAAGAGAGAAGATCCGTTGATTGATGAATTTTTTTTGTTTTCACATCCTTTTTATTTTCAATTCCCTCTTGCTTCAAACCCTTTGACCGTTCCAGGTGCAGCGGCTCCAGGACCGCTGCGATGCGGCGGAGGCCGACGCATCACTGCAGCGCTCACTGGGTGCGACCGCCAAGGCGCCCAAGCGAAAAGCCCGAGAGCTGCGGGAGGTGGATTTGGGAAGGAAAACAAGCATCAAACAGCTTTTTAAACAAACAGGAATTTGGACTTTGAAGATCTTTGAGCTCCGCAACCCGGGTGTTTGACGTTCAATTTCTTCGGCATCCAGGGGACCCTTCTTTTCTGTGTCAATGTGTCAAGAACGAAACCCACACCCGAGGGCTGGAGAGACGAAATCCACTGTGGCGATGGAATTCTACTGTCATGCAGTGGTTTTGTTCGAATGGGTCGTTCTCCAGTGTGGGTTGGTCTAAAGGTACAAAGATGATCCATATGGTCGCCAGCCGAACCATGCAACTGCCTGGGTTACACTCATCCATTTAACACATACTTATCTAGTGAAGTGAATCGTGAGCCAGGGAGGGTTGAACTTCCCCCTTGTTGATGACAGCTTGGAATGAGATAACAATAATATCCTTTAAGCCTCCAGTGTCCTGGGAACTTGTATGATGACCATCTACCGTTGAGCTTGCCTTCCACCAGACCAGAAGGCCGTTGAACACGTTTTGACCCGATGGTGGAAATCACAGAAACTGCGAATCTCCTCCATCCCCCGATGATCTGCATCGGATGCTTTCTGGCTTGTGAATACTAGCAAAGACGCTACTAGGAGCTCCTGGCATCGATACTAAGAGCAAGAAGCTACTAGGAACAAATGGCATCGCTACTAGTAACAACGGCATTACTACTACCAGGAGCTCCTGGTACGATCTTACGGAATCTTACGTCTACGGGCTCTGTTTGATTTGACGTTGACGTGTCCAAGACTTAGATGGGAGGCCCAAGTGACAAAGCTGCAACAGCAGCTGGCGTCCCGAGTCCAAGCCTGAGACAGTCGTGTCTTATTCGAGGTCTCTTCAGAGCCCCGAGTGTACTTTTGACCTTCGAAAATTTGGCAGGATTTCTGGGATTTGGGCTGATCTAGGCAACCGACCAATTGAATTTGGGTGGATCTAAGCTTCAGATGGGATACTAAGACGCAAGACAAATGCTCCATGGCGTGGAGGGTTTGGCATCGCCCATCCCGATCCACGCCTTTCTCCAACGAGGCCGAGATCAAAGAGCTCGAGGAGAAGCTCCGGCAGTCGGAGAGCGCCCAGGCGAGACGTGTGAGTCAGGTCAAGCATCAAAAGGGTTCTTATTGGAGTGTCTAATTTGTGTTGTGTCTACAAACCTCGTTTAGCCGCCAATGGATCATCACCCACTCTCCCTTCCCACTCCCTCTCTCCCTTTCTCCCCGAGCCTTCCAAGACCCTTTTATAGTGGTTGACCTGGTTTTGTCACTAAACAAAACTCAGTGTACAACATAGTGCAACTGTAACAAGGGTTGCTCGGAAAAAACCAGTCCCTGAGCCAGGAAGTCTAGAATCTCTCTCTCTCTGTCATGCGGCATGCGCCGGGAGGCGTGCATGGAACGAGAGCGTTTGGAGGAGAAACGGCAGGTCATGGAGTTGGAGGAGAAGGCGCGAAGCTGGAGAATCGTCAGTTGACGAGGTCAGAAGGACAAAATACATGGAACAACCACGCCGTGCTTTTCTTTTGGCTGTATTTTGATCAGTGCTTCTGTGGCACCAAGAGAAAGACACGTTGCAGACACGTTCGGAGATCTGTGGAGTCACGAGTCGTGGGGACGGCAACTGGCCATCTTTGCGACGACAGGTGAGCGTTGCGGAGCGACAGCAGGTGACGCAGGCGCGTGGGCTTTGTGGTCTCCTGAGTGGAGGTCGCCAAGCCCCTGACCTACAATTAGTAACATGAAGCTGCTAGCAGCAAAGGGCATCGCTACTAGGAGCAAGGGCGCTACTAGTAGCTTCTCACCTTCCTGGTAACAAGAAGCTACTAGGCCTTTGTCTCCAAAGGACCTCTTGGAAGGTCGTTGAATTCGTATCCGTGCGTGTTGCTTGGACTAAACGAAGGGACTAAAACAAGTGCATCATCGTTTTTGAAGAACATCGATGACCTCTCCGTCCGTTCATTTCGACCGCCGTAAACGCGCCGCTTCACGTCTTCCGGCTCCGCCGAACTCCAGGCCGAGGCCCTCTGCCAGACCGAACAGCGTGCGGAGACTCGTGCCGGAAAGGACGAAAAACGCCTGGCAGACCCAGTTGAAACTGACGGAGTCAGTGAGGGTGTCCCAGCACATCTCTCCAATGTTTGAGAAAACTTCTGTGCCTTGTTCGCGCAGTTGTTCGTTGCTGACGCCTGACAGGACGAATCGAAGAAATCGACGGCACAAGAATGTTGACGTTTGGAGAAGATCTCAGGTTGAAGTGAAAGCTACTTAAGCTACTAGGAACAGGTGCATCGCTACTAGTAACAAGTGCCTTACTAGTAGTAACAAGAAGCTACCAAAAGAAGTTGTCAACCATTTGGATTTGCACGTGCCATTTGGATCTCAGGTTTTGAGACAATCTCAAGATGTGTTTTTGGTCCACGGCATTGTGCCATGACAACCTGCAGTGGGCCTCACTTGGATCCTTTGGGTACGCCACAGAAGACGAAACAGTCGTGCTGGCACATTGATGGCGCAGACCCAACATGTTCTTACGACACCTTTTTTTGCAATGGCAGGTTTGAGGATTCTGAGGCATTCATTCCCCAGTTCAATGCCAAAAAGAAACATCGGGCACATGGCAGCTTCACAAGCCTGCGCAGCCACACGACCGAAAAGTCATGCCTTACATTACTACATATTACTACTAAGAACAAGACTAGCAGCAAGGACGCTACTAGTAGCTCCTGGCATTCCTACTCGGAACAAGAGGCTACTATATATAGTAGCTCCTGGCCTTGATTACATTGCCTTACTATCGTTTTCAGATCTTTTTCTTGCAGATCGCAGTTTGATGGCCACTGTGCCGTGCTGTGCCCCATGAGGGCGTTCGAAGTGTCATGAAGGCCGTGGCCTTGGCTGTGCTTCGGGTTGCTGCAGATCGCAGCTTGGTGATCCGAAACGTGTTGCCACGGGTCAGCGAGGTGCCAAACTCCAAAGTGTTTTCAATCCAAAGGATGCACAAGCAAAGCAAAAACTCCTAGTTCTAGAAGTGTTCTTGCTCGTTGACACCTCAAACCCAGCTGTATACAACGGCGAGTGGATACTTCCACAAAACAGCAGAACAGACTTTGGAAGACGTTCATTTAAGAATGAATTTCCTACAAGTCCAAAGGCCCAGTAAAACCTATTCTTTTGCCTCCTTGAGTGACTTTACTCCAGCACAAATGAGGTCATTAATCGGGATTGTAGCACAAAACGCACAAAGGTGCGAAATGGAAGAGTTGCAGGCGAGCGAATTCACCCGATGGGCCCATGTGAAGAGACCGATCGGGCGTGCCGCACGGTCCGGACTTGTGCCACTAGAACTAGAACAACTCCTATTCACACGCAACTATCACCACTGCATTATTATAAAGACCTACCACTACGAGTTAGTTTTGATTTATGGTTCTTCACTCTTTACTATTGGTGACAGGGCCATTGCATTCAATCAGAACCGTGTTTGGTGGCCCCACCTTGTGCAATGTTCACTGAGGTGACCCGCTGGAGAGCTGGGACAGCGAGGAAGCGCCGGCGCCATCGCGGCTCGGTTTTCATGGACTGGAAGAGTGATAGACCAGCAGAGGTGACGAGACCAGTCCAGCTCAGGGAAATGGCAGATGAACAGATGACCGGAGCGACCATGAAAATGATCTAAGCTCTCCATGGTTTTTTAGGAGCTCCAGGTTTCGATCCACTGCCACATGGGAGTTGATTTAGGGAGCCGTGCAGGGGATCTTGTACCAAACAAAGAACGGCCATTCCAATCCATTCCATCATGAATCATTTGATCAACCAGTACATGGATGGGACATACCTGGATCTTCCAGCTCTGCTACATGTTTGCCTTGTCAGCCATCAAAAAGCAGCCGAAGGGCGCAAATTTTGTTGCATAGTTGTGGATGGTCTGGAAAGGCTCAGAAAGACTAGAGAGTCACGCTTGGAGAGTCACGTGTTTTGCCGTCCTTTTCACCGGACTTTGTTGGCTGTGCGGACTAGACAACTCGATGTTCTGTTTCTGCGTGCCGATGGTTGTTCACCCAGGCGCGCTGCAGCCTTCTTGGACTGCGCTGCTTGCCAGTACATATTGGAAGCTTTGGTGTGCTTCGGAAAACCTGGGTTTGGTCGTTGAGATTTGGATTTGCAGCACGGTTTGGTTTTTTTCTTCCTCATTGACATGGACATGGCAAGTGACCATGTTGCCTCTGCGGAGTCAGCAAATATCTCAGAGTACCCAGTCCAGTTCCATCCCTTCCCCATCTAATTTCTGCACCCAGAAGTCATCGACCCGTCAGAAGTGCCAGGATGGCTTGGGCGAAGATCATGTCTTTTGGCCCATTTTTCGCAGTGCTTTGAACCTGGAGGGCGTGTTGGGCCAGACCACTTTGGAGTTGGCAGTAAGGAGAATGGTGAACGTTCCAAAGGCCACATGCTACAGTTCAGGTTTCTTGGAGTTTCAGAAATCAAGACATGCGGTGCAGGAGAAAAACAAACATACAAAACATATACTTTTTGTATAGTCACATAGTCCAGTCAAGTCTAGTTCTTGGTGGAGAGCGCATCTTTCTTTAACATGGAAGAAGCCATTTGAGCAAACTCCTTTTTGACGTGTCGCTTGTTCCAAGCCGGAGAAGCTCTTTCTCTCTCCAGGAAATGGAGTGAGTGGGAAAGCTATCAAGACTACATGGTGCAAAGTGGTCAACTTGCCGGTGACATTCTTACTGTGCCTGGATTGACGTATGCGAGCCTTGGGCGGAAAAGAAGTTGAGAAGATTCTGGAAGAGAAAACTGCCACGAAAGCCTCCTGTGCATTCAAACCCGAAGGATTCAGAACGGGAAAGTCAACGGTCAGAGTGCTTTCTTGGTTGTTGCCTATGCCGTATCCCTGGCTTTCCGATGTTTTGGTGGGGCTTTGGCTTTCTTGACCATCTCAGGAATGGTTCAGAGGTGGAACTGCGCATCAACGGACTGATCGATTTGCCGGTGATCTTTCAGAAGGCCGCCTATTCACAGCTTTTCGACCAACCACCGTGCCTGGGAGGAATTCGATGGGCAATGCATGGGCACAGCGGTTGAAGGAGTTGGATGTTTCATGAAGCGTACAAAACCATAAAACGGGGGTTGAGACCTTGACCTGTTTTATCAGGCTGCTTTGGCATGCGTTTTATGAGGGAGGTCATTTAGGCTTTCTTGACCACTGGGCGGAAATGGAAAATCTGAAACCTGGTGCTTTGCAAGTCCGAGGAAGTGGGGAGCCTCTGAATATGTGGGTTTCCTGTCATGCCCTGTGGGCTTTGTCCTGGTCCAATACGTGATTTTCATTGCGAGCCTGGGCTAATGGCAACGCGTACCTGGGAAGATCTGTCAATGACCCCCAAACGTAGCGTCCTTTTTCGCTCCTAGTAGTACGGCCAAGAGCCCCGAACGTAGCGTTCTTGCTCCTAGTAGCGATGCCAGGAGCCCCTAGTAGACTTTTTGCGAAGCCTGAGGAACAAAGTTCGAGGAAACTTGGACCCATCGCTTTTGAAGGACTACTGGGAATCTGGACTGCATTTGGATGTTTGTGCCATTTGTTACCATTTCTGGACAGTTCTTGTGGAAGGTTAGTACCATTTCTGAGGAGGGGATGGTCAATGCGTTTGGTTTGATTTATGCAGTGCCCTCGTATGTGCTCGACCATTCGGAGTCTGCGGCTTGGACGCCACGATTTATAGGTGCCAGCCTTCTGTTTGGGAAAGCGGCAAATCAGAACGACCTGTCCGCTGCAGGCAAACTGGGGCCTCACTTCCTTTGACATCGCAACTCAGCTGAGCATGGATGTGGCACACTTCTGCCCCTTTTTTCTCATCCACAGAGGAAGAAGAAACAGAAAAAGCACGCTCGAGCACGACTTGAGGCTGTGAACCTCAACGTGGAGAGGAGCTATTATCGAAATTACGAGGCCTACTGCCAAGAGACGCCAATTCCACCTCCTCTTTTGACCCATTGGTCCCACGACCTACCGTCCTTCCAGTCTTCCGACTGGTGGTGCGCGAAAAGCACGACAACGTCTGAACCGTTGCGTGTGGCGCTCATCGGGGAGCATGGCCCGGTGAACTTGGACCATTTGAGCACCACAGAGGCCGTTTGGCGAAACTGTGCGACCGATGGAGCTGAGGGCGGCCCTGAGATCGAGGCGGGGCACTTCTTCACGTATTTATGGGCATTGGAAGGCACGGCGCAAGGAGAAGAACTACGAAGGAGCTTGCGAATGTCTTGGGAAGCGTTCCTCTGTGGGAAGTCTTGGTGATTTTCGGCTTGCGGCTGGTCATTCCGACAAAGAATGCCCATATTGCAGATCTCAAACAGAACTCATGTAGGCAGTAGGCGGTCGCTGTTTTTCTTTTGCGTCCTTTGTTGGGCTCGTGCTGCAAACCAGGTTTTGGGGCGAGCCTTTGACCAAGTCACAAGGCTGTGGAACAAAGCAACGCCAAAACGCTGTGGGCATTCGGAAGAGCCGAGTTTCGGGCGCTCCTTGGGGCGCAGAGGGACACGGGATCAAGAGCAAAAAGAAAGCTTTTTGCCAGTGCCATCCACCTAAAATGTGTCTCACATTCTGTCACGTCTTTTCGATGCTCTTTGTTTGTGTTCTTCCTTCGGGCGTTTGGGCGCCCACTCGGTCACCAGGCCGTTCTGAGAGCAGCTCGGCGCCGCGCTGGACGGTGGCGGGCGCGGTAGCTGCGCTGAAGGGCTGGGCATGGCGGGAGCCCTTCCTCCGCGCAGCGCGTGGCGCGGCAGACGGTGTGGACATTGGGGGTGTTCTCAGGGGGAGGATTCCGAGAGTTGGTGATAAAAGTGTAAAGGATTGGTTTGATGTCAGTATGACAGGTGTTTTTTCTCCACCATGTTGACAATGCTCAAGTCGCTTCAGGTTTTGTTCATTTCTCTTCACGGACCTTGGACCCAAGCCAGAGAGGGGGGGTGGAGACGTTTCCCTGTTGGTGGGGTGAAATCTATGAAATCAAAAAGGAGAAACAGACATGAATGATGCGGTTCATCTAAGCTTCTAAAACCTTCAGACTACAAATGACTCATTCAATCTCATTCATATATATTCCTATATTGACCTGAGTATATGGTGCTTCCATTGCCCGCACAGATGCGGTTCTTTGAGGTATACAGATTTGCTGTGAACCCCTTTGGCTTTGCGTGCTGCCACTCGGCGCATTCGCGAACGGTGTCACTCCAGCTCGCTCCACGTAGCTCGCTCGCTCCGCGCTCCACACCGAGGATGCACGCAGCAGTGGGTTCCAGTCGACTTTTGGTACGTGTGAGCATGTGTCTTTTGCATTCCTTCTCCCAGATCTTCGGAGAGCAGGCAAAGCAAGTTTTAGGGAGCAGACCATCCAAAAAGAAGAGGAAGCAGGAAAATTCAACATGAGGGAACATCGTGAAGCGAAAAGAATCAAAGGCGTCGCCATCGTTGCCGCAGAAAACGCCAGGAGTTGCCCCACTTTTGGCCTTTGGTACGTGCCATGGGCTCTGAAGTCAAGGCGCTCGACCCGTACGAAGACCCATCAAATGCACAAGTTATTCAATTCCGCGAGCAGATTCCGTTGAGGGTTGCTTGAAACATGCTTTTAGTTGCTTCTTCCTTCACATTCTGCCTTGTGCCATCTACTTTCTCCGGGTGGCGTCAACGTTGATCCGTGGGGAGTTGACCTCAACGGCCATTTGGGCAGGCCATCAGTGCAGCAGCCAGGATTTCCGCCGAGATGTTGAACTTTCAAGCCGGCCACTAGGTGGAATAGGAAGGGCAGGGAGAGAGTCGGATGAAGACCGATTAAACATCCAATTCTAAGGCTTGCTAAGGATAAAAGAGAACACGGAAGGCTTTAGAAGAGCGATGACATGTGATAAGTATATAATCAGTATCTTTGGCATTCTTTTATGTCTCTTTCAGCTTTGGGCAGTTGGGCATCATGGCGTGCTCAGTTGTCCTCACGACTGGCGCCTTTGTGGGCACACGACTGGGCACACGACTCTCTAAGGCATTCGACCACCGTATGTGCCAGCATTGTCTTTGCACGTGGAAGCAGCTGCTCAGTATCGCCCCAACTCCCCAGAGACTTGGCTGTGACGGTGAAAAGGATTGCTGTTCTGGGAATTGGCCGGGCGAGATCTCCATCGAATCGACAGTTCCGGAAAAGCTGCCGATTCAGAAACAGGCGGACCATAAGGGAGTACTTGATGCTCTATCAGAAACTCAATGCCGCTCTATCCAGCCATTGCGGAAAAGACCCGAATTGAAGGCCTGGTGCAGGGCCAGCTGCCGCATTTAGCGGGCCAGCAACGCGTTGCTTGGTGTAACTCGGGGTGTTGCTCAGGTGTTGCCTCGCTTGTTTTGTGAACGGTCCTTTTCTTATTTTTATCCCGCTCCCCCCTGCTCCCTACTTATATATATTAAGTAGGCGGTGACTTAATTCATTAAGTAAGGCGACTAGCAAGCTACTAGGAACTTGTTCGCTCCTACCTAGGACGCAGGATAGCATGTCAACTAATGATTTGGCTCCTAGATTCTGAGGGAAACTTAACGAATGCTACTAACGAGTGGAGGGCAGAGGAATGTGTTGCGGTCTGAGGATGTGTTGCTGTTTCGCTTTCGCTTACCCGGAGCGCCGGGCTTCATTCGAGTCCTCCAGATGCTGTCAGAAGAGGCCAAAGCACAAGGCCTGCCAGTGGCCAGGATTGTCATCATGGATGCTTCGAAGAAATCACTGAGCTGCTTGCCACAACAGGCAATGAGCATGTATACAAGGCATGCAGTTCGGATGGGCCAAAAACCGGAGCGCTAAGGCTTCCAAGAAATTGGTCACTACAGGCTGCTGGCTCTACTTCCACACGTTCCGTATGCTCAACGACTGCCAGATGTCTTCGCGCCCTTTGGGCTGTGACCATGTCGGGACCGACGTGTGGCCACCAACGGACGCGACCAACGCTCCGACGGACGTGTGGCGCTTCGCTTTCTGAGGTTGGGATCGCCCACCCTGGTGCCGGCGCAACCGTTGCTGCACAAATTCATGTGGCCCTTCGCGGGACCCTTCTGCGGACGCAGCGACCCGGACTTGTCACGCTCGGTGGATCCGACCCTTGGGCGAAAAGAAGGCGAGTTGGTCACCGGTTCGGCCTCTGGGCCGACCCGGTGACCATCCGGTCGTGGCATATCGCATTGACCCCCCGTTTTTCGACGCACCCCAAACGGAAATATTCTATATGCCACCTGACATGGCTGCCAATGGCTGCCATATCATGCATGGAGTGTCTTGGATATGCCAAGTCTGGAACGTTCCAATCTTAGACACGTTGTAGATCCGATGCAGCTTCAGAAAGCTCCATGCTTTCTCGCCGAGGATCAGTGGCAACAATAGCCATCCATATTCACCCTTCGAATTCCAACAAAAGATCTTTCATCCTGGCCATTTCGAAGAAGATCGACGTTCCTTGGGTCGAACGGTCGAACTTTCCAGCCGGTAGGAGAGTCCAATTCTGTTCTCTTGTCCTCTCCTCCCGGTTTGGACAACGACCCGGAAACCGGCCGTCTATGGCACCAGACTGGCGGCCCATGAGGCTACTGGGCACAGTACACTGAATGGGAGCTTTGGCCTCATTTGATCCGCTTCAGGAGAGGGATGCAAGAAATTCAAGTAGACAGCATGTCAGATTTACTATGAATGATTTCAATGGATTTTGTAAATGGTGTTCTTTTTCCCTTTCCTGACCATGAGCCAATCAGCATGTGACAGCATGTGGATTTCAAAAGCTGTGGCATGGAGGAGTGCCAGGGAGATGTTGCACCTTGCCACCATGTCGCAGGCAGACGCTGTGCATGCTGGCCTCACATCAAAAAGAGAAGACCTGCAAAGACTTTGCATAATGCATCGCTACTAGTAGCAAGGACGCTACTAGGGTGGAGACCATCGCTAGTAGGTTGGAGGCCATTACTACTAGTAGCAAGGACGCTACTAGTAGCAAGGTCTCAAGAAGTGCAAGCTCCTTCGCAGGAAGAAGCCTTTTCCATCAGCCGACTCATGCGGGCACATCACCAAGTTCTGCGGAAGGACTCGCTCCAATACTGGAGTAAAGCTTTGAGTGCCTGCCAGTAGGAGATCAATGAGCTTCACAGATCGAGCTGCGCCGCGGGCTGCGGACTGGAAGCGGGGATGATTCGCATGGCCGAAGCGTGAAGGTGAAGACGGTGCCGAGAGTGAACCGAGAAGAAAGAGTGAGAGATGAACGGTGTTTGGAAACGAGTTTTCCACACCTTTCCAGATGGCTTTGATTGGGAAAACTCGATGGAGTCTCGGAGACTGCCTCAGCTGCGCAGTGGATCATTTGCTCCGACTTGGCCGAGAGGAGTGTTTCCTTTGCTATCGGCCGAAAGAAGAGAAGCTGCGTGGGGTGGGTTGGTGGCGCCACAAGTGACCGCGCGGTCTTTTTGTTTTGTGAAGACGTGGCCATTATTAGTAGCAAGGACGCTACTAGGAGCAAAGGGCATCGCTACTAGGAGCAAGGACGCTACTAGGGGCCCCTGGCCGTACTACTAGTAGCAAGAAGCTATTTAGGTTGGAGGCCATCGTCACTACATCCCATGGAAGTGATTCTTTTTCTCCCAGGTCCTTGTGCTGTTCGAACGGTGCCCAGGCGTTCAAGAGTCGGAAGAGAAATGCCGTGCTATGCAGTCCACGCTGGCGGCCTGCTCAGTGCGTGACGATCAAAGGGTTCTGGGTTGACGATCAAGTGGTTTTACATGACCAACGAGGTCTTTTGCGAATGAGTCATCTTGAGACTGTTCTGCCTCTCATGCAATGGATGTTTTTCTGCCCTGCAGGACGATGTCACCCAATCTGCCTCGGCGGGCTCCCAGCGATTTTGGACTGTCCATGTCATGTTCATTTCGCTGCTAGGAACAAAGGACGCTATTAGGGGCTCCTGGCCTTACTACTAGGAACAAGGACGCTACTAGGAGCAAAGGGCATCGCTACGAACGGAGCGATCGGACGCTACGAACGGGGCTCCTGGCATCGCTACGAACGGAGCGATCGGACGCCACTCTGATGGCGGGCGTGGCGCCCTCGATCCAACGCGGAGGCCTTCTTCTACTCCGCGACCACGCGCGTCACGGAGTTGGAAGCGGACCGCAGCTGAGCCTCCGTTCACCTCTCGTTGTGCTTCTCACCTGCTTTAAAACGCAGGGAGGCCGGGTGACGGACGATCAAAACGGAGCCGCTTCGCAGGAGCTTGAAAGATGGCAGGCCTGGGCTGAAGAGGAGGACTGGGCCGACTCTCTTCGGGTGCGTCGACCAGTCGGTTGAAGGGAGCGGTGGTGTGTAACACGAAGCGACTAGGGTGGCGGCCATTACTACGACGAACGTAGCAAGGGACGCGAACCGAACGTAGCGAACATGGCGTGGACACCGTGTGTTCAGGAGAAGGATCTGCGATTCTTTCTGCAAGAGAAGGAGCGTGCCACTGAATTGGAGACCAAGATCCGGTCCAAGGACCTAGATCCGTCTCGGCGGTCTCGGGAATTCGACATGAGAGATCCGTTCCAAGGCATTTTCATGCGGACCTGACACGATGTCCTTAAGTAAGGAATGAAAAACCGATCCATCTGAGTTGATGCACAGCGCGCAGATCGGTCCGGTCTTTGCTTTCGCTTCTGGATCAGTCCCATGATCCCTATTTTAGAAACATTCACCATCATCCACTGAGCCCTGGTAGCTCATTCCGATCCGTCCGCTGATTGACATCGCTCGCTTTAGTCGGTTGGGTCAGAGGGTCCGGCGACGCACGGGCGTTTGCTTTCTCAAGTCGAGCCGTTTCTCAAAGTCTCGAAGATCCGGTTTGACGTCACACCTCTCAGCGTCTCTCGTCTTTGATACCTGAATTTTCCACCAGTTCTGCCTTTGGCATCTTGTATCCTGTCTTCCTTCACCCAGTCGTCATATGCCACGCGCTGGAACCAGGACTGCGAGATCAAGCAGTTGCTCCAGCAACAGGCGCTTGCTCAAGGTGATATCAGTGCTGCGCATCGGGTGGCAGAAGAATTGCAGGCACAGTTTAAAGGCTTCTTGTTTCTACGTTCGCTTCTTGTTACTACTAGTAAGGCACTTGTTCCGTTCGTAGCGATGCACTTGTTACGTTCGTAGCTTCTATTGCAGGCACAGTTTGAGGTTCAAAAGAGAGAGTGTCTTGGCGTATTCGAGAGTGTCTTGGTCTCCGAGGTCGGCCTGTCGAAGACTTTTAAAGAGGTTTCTACTAGCTGCTAGCTGATCACCAGTTGATCAGCCTAGCTATGCCTAGAGGCGAATCATGAAATCGTGGTTCTATTCAATCGAACTCTCTTGGCATCTCCTTTTCCTGATTTGCTCCTCCGGAGCAGCCGGACAATCGAACTCAGGTTTGAACGGAAGATGTTGCACTACGCTGCCCAAGTGGAGTCAGAGTTGGGGAATGCCAGTGGTCGGGAGTCTGAACTGGCGATCCAGCTGGCCAGCAAAGTGCAGGAGAGGCAGCTGCGATTTTGCGTCCTCGTGTGTTGTGTATATTTTCGGGACTGCTGGGTGGTAATATGCTGGGTGCCTCACAGCTAGGTGGCATCAATGTGTTCCGGGTTTGGGTGACTCAACTGGTTGAAATATGCAAAAACCATCAATAAAAGCCACCGAGAACAAAGCGACGGACCTGGACATCTCCACATGGTCTCGGAAGGTCTTGATGCGCTCCTTCCATGCTTGCCTCCTTCCCAATAATGGATGCCAAATGTCCAAAACCCGACTCAAAAGAACCCAACAATTTGAAGCTGGGTGGCTTTATTCAAGGCGCCCAGTTTTGAGAAGCCGCGGATTTCTGAACATAGGAGTGCGAGCGACTGGCCCAAGAGTCAAGCAAAAGCAAAGAGTTTGAAGAGAAGGCCACCAAGCTGCAGGTGCGGGAGGATCTCGATAGCAATGCACCTGGTGGGGTGAACATGATGTGAGGCAGCGCATTTGTGGGAAGCCCAAAACCGTGCCTTTAAGAGATGGAACTTCAAATGCACCAAATGACAGAGGACGTCCGATTTTAAGAATTTAAAGAAAGCACGCCTTCTCGGAAAAAGCGGTCATCCTCAAGGGACCATGTTCCACCATGCACATTTCTTAGATCGAACTGTCCTCCATCCCGCCGTATCCATCCCACCGGCTATTAGAAACAAGAAGCTATTAGAAACAAGTGCCACGCTAGTAACAAGTGCATCGCTTAGTAACAAGTGCCTTACTAGTAGTAACAAGAAGCTACTAGGAACAAGTGCATCGCTTCTAGTAACAAGTGCCTTACTAGTAGTAACAAGAAGCGAACGTAGAAACAAGAAGCCTTTCCAGGTCAGACAGGTCACAGCACTTCGCACAGCTTCGCATGCTACGTCACTAGCTGCCTGTTCCGTTTGCAAAGTTTGTTCTGACCACTTTTTAATGGCAACTTGCCAAAAGGAAGTCAGCACCTTTGATTCCTGATGGTTGCCATTGCTTTCGAGTTCTATTCTCCTGGGGCCATGGATGATAGATCGGGCACTGGGCATTCCTGTTTTTCTGGCCCAGTTGGCCAGTTATATAACTGCTTCAACTTGGTTCCAGGCTCAGCTGGAAGAGAGCCGTCAAGGTGCTTCAGCCACCAAAAAGGACCTCCAAGCAGTGCCAGCCTAAGAGGAAGACAGCCATGCGGCGGCCGCTCCTACTTAACCAATGGGCGCGTACTTATTTAAGGGAGAAGTAAGCGACTAGCAATAGGAAGCTCCTAGCTAGGATGCAGGATAGCTCACGCACTAATGATTTGGTTCTAGATCGGGGAATTGACCAGTGACCACCGAGCCGTCTTGCGGTCATGTGCTGCGGTCATGTTTGGTGTGAAGTCTGCCGTGAATGAAATTGACCAAGCCGTCTGCGGTACCGGTCTGGTAGGGAAACATGCAAATAGCCGAAGGATGATTTTGTGTGCTAGTAGGAAAAAGTGCATCGCTTCTAGTAACAAGTGCCTTACTAGTAGTAACAAGGTTTGAATTTAATTAGAATTCTAATTAGTAGCGAACATTGTTACTACTAGTAAGGCACTTGGCACTTGTTACTACTAGCAAACAAAATCCTCCAAAGGGTTACTTTTGGTCTTTCAATCTCAAGGCCTGGTGAACATAGCCACGTCACAATCGTCCTGCACCAGTGGTGCATCCACGTGTGGAAGTGTCAAGATTGCTGAAAGATACACGGGCACTAGGGGAGTTCCCAACTAAAATAAGACCTTGAAAAACCATGTTCAAAGTGAGCAGATTGAGCTGTTTCTGAGATGTTTGAAAGGTCGCCTCTTTGCAAAACAGCTAAAAACAGCTTTCAAAGAGGCCCAGCAGCGCGCCTCTGACTTGGAGATGCAGATCTCCTCACTTCGGAGGGAGCCCTGGAGCCCAGAGGGCCGAGTGCCGAATGCGAAACACTGAACGATGTTTTGTTCATTTCGCACGCGAAGCGTCTGCGAGCAGACAAAAGGCGTCTGGCAAAATGAATTCATGACAGAAGAAGTCAGGGCGCGGTGCATCAAGTCCTTGGTCCTCTATTGTCAGCACCAAATCCCGAATCCACTCCGTGGTCGCCGCGAGCCCTCTTCGCTGAGATGGTTGCTGTTCCAACCGATTCTAACCATCTTTGAAAAAGTTGCGCTCCGAGCTGGCAGAACAAAGGTGGGTATTCGTATGTATTCTTTGAATGGAAGAAGAACAGAAAATATAGCAATGGCCTCCAATCGAATAGCGACGGAGCTTCCAATAGCAATGGTCTCCAACCAAATAGCGATGGCCTCCAACCGAATAGCGATGGCCTTAAACCTAGTAGCGATGGCCTCCAACCGAATAGCGATGGCCTCCAAACCTAGGAGCGATGAGTCAATGAGCCTACTGAAATTCTTTTCATTTCTTTGCTGTAGCTGATGCTGCCCCCTCGGGCAAAACTGAGGCAGGAGAGACAAAGCATGGAGTTGGACCTCACGAAGAAGCAACTCGAGATGGCCAATGGCAACGCCAAAGACTCCTCGCCTCGCGTTGCGAACATGTTCGATCTGACTGTTCCGAAGATCTTTCGGCGGGCTGTGCAGAGGGAGTGTTCAACATGTTCAACAGGTCTGACATGTGCATTGGATGCAGGAGGGGAAAAGCACAAAAAGACAATATCCGCGAACGCGTTTAGTCCTTTTCCTTCAACGGTTTCGCGAACCGAGCACTTTGTCGGAAGGACCTGGAGGCACAGCGCAACGAAGCGTTTCGGAATCACCAAGAACTGCAGGCGAAGTGACTACATGGGTGTGGGTGGCAGCGGAGCCCCGCAACCTGAAGAATTCAAAGGTGTCCGACCTCTTTGAGACCTGTATCAAAATGAATCCGGGACCTGGTGGGCC